TCACACTAAGGAGAAGCTGAATGCACGTATAGAGCTGCTGGGGAGGCAGAAAATGAGGGAGTCTTAGGTTTCAGCACGTGTGCCACATGTCATCTTCAAGGGTGACACGCTGGATAACATTTTTTTTCAGTTCTGAAAACTGTACCTCGTGTTGGACACAAGCATGCTCTCTGCAGTTATTCTGGGTGCTATCAGCTTGTCAGCACCTCAAAGCCCTAAGCACACTGCACTCTGCCATGCCTCCTCATGGATGATCTGCCCCTCGCACGGCAGGCAGCAGCAGCCTCGCAGCTACAGAACTACCAAACTGACAACGACAAGCTGACACTGCCCAAATTAAGAGGATTTTCTTTCTGTCAGTGTTATTTCCTCACCCTGCCCCGTGTGCCAAGAGGTCAAAGTGCTACCCCTCCAGTTCAGCTGATAGCAAGACTTCTCCCTCACCTACAACTCTCAAAAAAACAACGCTTAGGTCACCCAACATCAGCAGCCCTAAGCATCTGAAAGACAATAACACCAGTACTGCTTTCCCCCCCTGCTGCCCAGCTGTACCAGAAATGAGGGATACTTCAAATCCAGGGAACTGCCAGAGAAGAGAGTGGCAAATGTTTTAATCACTCCATTTCTCCAAAACTCCTTTAACTCTCTGCAGGAAGATTAGTGGCCCTGCTGCTATGGGGATCTGCTGGCCCACAGCACGCCAGAGGCTACTGTCAAATCAAGGCTTTAGGAGAAATCACAGAGCAGCAGGCACATCCAAGCAGCACTGGGGAAGTCATCTGCAAGGAAGAACAGGTCCCATGCCAAGTAACATGAAAGCAAGTTGTATTTATTCTGCTATCACTCCTAAACCCCCAGGGACCAGACTTTTAATGCAACTCATATCCTCCAATCTAGTAACCTCAGTTCCCTGGAGACTGGTGCTGTAGATGTGTAGACAGGGCTTAGAGCTGAGCAGCTCTGGGATTTCTGATGTATCCAGCCACACTTGGTGCCAGCCAGAGCAACAGAGGACTCCTCATGGAAACCATCTGCTTCATTGGATTCACCTAGAAAGCAGAGTGGAAGGAAAGCAGCTCTGTGTTCCAGCAGTGGCCACTGGCTCAGGCACAGCGATAGACACCTCCTGTCCCAGAGAGCCTGCATCTCAAAGTCTGTATATTAGACAAGATCATAGGGGAACTCAAACAGCAACAGAAAATTGAAATGCCCCTTCCTTTGGTCAAACACACAAAAATAGCACTGCGTCTGAATTTTAACTGGTGACACTTATTTAGCATCCATGTAACCCAAACAATTTTCTCAATTACTCCTTATATACTTAAATAAGAATAATACCTAATTTTCCATTTGGCTTAGGGAAAAGGACACTGCTTTTGCACTAAACAAGCATAAGTAACCTACTAGCAAGCATGTTAGAGAACATTTCACTTTGATGAATGCCTTCCCTCAAGATATTTCTATGATCTAGATGAGCAGCAACTGTGGTACTCATCTCCTTAAAAATTATTAAGCATCATCAGTTAATGAATCCTGCGTTACAGTGTTTCCATCCAAAGAGCCTTCTGTTGTGCATACGCACCACGTCGTTAAAGTCCTGAAGACACACTGCAGACAGAGCAGACTGGAATAGATCACAGATACCCATTTTATCTCAATTACCCAGAAAAGTGAATGGTTCCATTTCTGTGGAGTATAAAACCTCATGTACCACAGGAAGAGAAGCTTAAAGGCCACATAGTACTTTCACTTCATGTGTGCATCTTCCAGTGATGTCAACTGGATGGGAGCTTCTCATTCTCAGCCAGCACAACTTTTGCTAGGAAGTATTTTCAGACATACCCATCAGTTCTGGGCTCACGTTTTTGCCTCAACAAAACTGGATGTCTCTCCACACCATCCACACTTGTACTGTCACTTTTACATGACAGAAGGAGAAAGAAAGAAAAAAAAATAAGAGCTTGCATAAGTAAAATTTACTTTATCAAATTCTGGAGGCTTTTTGAAAGGTAAAATAATTTTTAAATCCTGGCCTTAGGAAAAACATTCTCTTTCAGGAGTTTGAATGATCACATTTCTAGGCATAAGGACAGCTAATCACTTGTGGTGAGATTACCACAGTTTAAGAATTTAACAACATGAAGATGGCTTAAGCCAATAGGTATCCTGTTGCCACAGGGCATGAGAGCCGAGTTCCTGAAGTTCATTTGTTCCTGAAGCGCAGGCGAGGAGTGACAGTGTGTTGAGCTTCAACCATGTGATGGCTTGTAATTATCTCTTATATTCTAAGAGCTAAACTATCTTTGTTCCGAGGCATGGGTGAAAATATTGCAAGAAATGCAGGGCACAGAGCAGAAGAAAGGTTATTTTCAACTTGTTAGGCTTCCCACAAAGTTTTCAGATTCTGCACATAGATTTAACCAAATCTATCATTTAGGTTACATCAGAACATTATATGTAAACAACCAAGTTCCTGTTATCAACCCTCCCCCCCTTTTTTTTTTAATTCTAGTTAGAAGTAAAATAGCTCAGATTCACACATAAAGATTGAGATGAGATAATGGAAATAAAAGATAATGAATCAACTGGTTTTGTACACAAAATAAGTGTCTGTAATCACAAAGCTGCCAATACACTGACTCTGCCTTGAGTGACGTTACAGACTGGCCCCTTGGATCCCAGGACTTAAAATCACCTTTGCTCTCTCTGTCACAGGTCAAGTACAGCTCAGCCAAACCAGGAGATGTGTGCCAAAGAGTTTGTATTTCCAACAATTAAATATTGAATTCGCGTTTTCTAAGTCACTTAGGAGTCACACTTGCACAATTATTTTCATACACAGCTACTTTATTTCAGCCCCAGATACAAAAGGCTATTAAGAGTTAGCCAGATTCTGCTCTCATTTGCCCTAGTGCAAAACCACGTCATTTCCACTAAGATCAGTGGAGCCCGAGTTTGGTACCACACACGGGAGAGCAGAACTCCTCTTTCCGAGGCAACTCAGACTGCCAGGGGGTTGCGGTGCCTGTGGCACACATGGCCTGGAGGTTTCCAGGCTCTATCTCCTCTCCTCATGTCCTTCTAACTCCTCTGCGGTCCCCCCATATCCCTCGCGGGCCTTTATTTTAAGTGGACCTTGTTGCACAGACTGACCAGAGCAGGTTACTTATTCTCCTTAATTCATTGGATTTACAAGAAGCATGCCAGCTGAGCGACACTGAACAAAAGACAAAATTGTTTCTGCAGTGTATTTACACACAATAAAACGAGCCAATCGAGCAAACAAACCATACACAACGTGCCCTATTATTAACTGAAACCAGAAGAAACTCTCTGCAGTACTTCCAGTGCTTATAAATGCATGCTTATCCCTAAGTAACCCAGAGCTTCCAGCAATTAGTCCTCAAAGCTTTGAGCCACGTTTTCTCCACAGTATTTACTCCCTGAGGCTCGCAGAAGGTAATAAATAACTGGTTTCCAACCCTGTTTTTTTCAGAGCCCTGCACATTGAGGGCAGATTTCGTTCATTCTCTGTGACTGACTGATCATCTGGTTTAACTTCTCCCGGACTCCATGTGTCCCACCACTGCCACGCTCCCAGGCATGGTGCCATTCCCACTGCAAGGCCTGGCCAGCGAGGGACCTGCAGCTGGGTGCCAGGGGACACCAGGAACTGTGGCACTGGGAGGAAAGCTCTCTGCTGCCAGTCAGGAGGCAGCTACAAGCACAAAAGCCAGCACAGCAACAGTCCTGAGAGACCAGAAGTCTTAATGCCACTGTCCCTGCACAACCACATCAGGGTTAGGAGTTACTCTTCCGCTCTTCTACAGATACGGCATTTAGGAGTTCATAACCGTTGCTTAGTGCTTTATTTCTTTCTAGTAATGTAATAAAACAATTCCCAGTTATAAAAAATATGACTGTTAGCACCCATGATGAGGTACGTCCAGAGGTACATCCCTCCATACTAACACACAGAGCCAGACAAGCTCCTGTTTTCCCGGCGGGCAGTCTGACCCCAGAGGGGACCAACACCATCCCGCAGGATTGGTGTGTCCTCCTGCAGATGCAGTTTTCTGCCACCTTGCCTGACCACATCAACAGCCACATAGCCCAAGAGGCAACATCCCCCAAACAATTCCCCTTGCATCAAGGGAAAAGTAATTTATTACACAAATACAAGGCACAGTGAATCACCCCAGCTTGGCTGCTGACCCATGACAAAAAAAAAAACAAAACAGTGCTTGTTTTAAGGGCCTTCTTCTGCCACCCTTCCTCTGAATAATTTCATTGAGGAGGGAAACTTGACATGTCACAGCACAGTATTTCTGATGCTAATTCATGTATCTTTTTTTCCCCTCTAGAATTCACGGAAGCAGAAGATGATTGTCACATTTTTCAAGTGGGAGATGCTAAGAACTGGGTTTCAACTCTCTGGTAAAACCTGGAAAACAAGGCAAGGGGCCAGCTCCTCCGTGCGCGAACCCCCAGTGATTCAACTGAAGTGTGTGTAGATGAGGTGAGAACCAAGGAGAGAACTGAATAATCCCATTCCAACTGTGTACAGCCAGATTTGTAAATGGAGAAACTGGCCACTATTTTTGAAGTGGAGTATTATCATCTCAGTAAAGCGGCCGTACGACTCTATGCATTCAACATTTTAATTCTCAGACAAAGCAGGGGTAAAAGCATACTTGGATAATTTAAAAAAGAAAAAAGACAACCGTAAGGCTTCCTGGGCAACCTTGCATGTATCTTACCTTCTCGTGTAGGGAATCAGTGGCTGGACACTGTAACATACTCCCTATAACATAGCCTACCATCAGCTTCAGATCCTTCCAGTCTACCTCCAATGCCCATATACTGACACGGCGTATATATGGCTTACATGTATGTTTTATTTAGCACAAAACAAGGAACAGCACTGCATTTAGTATTCAGTTTTAACCTTTCATATACACAAACAAATACAGATACAGACAACTTTGAGAGATCAGGTACGTATGTGAAATTTTTTTTTAATACTCTCCCAAATATTCCTCACCATTACTGGAATCCCTTATGAAGTCCCCCTAGTAGCATCAGTACAAGTCCAAAAAGTCACACGAATGAGGCCCTCGCTCCCCCTGCACACCAAGAGGATTTTGCCCCAACACCCTATTATAAGGATAAAGCTTTTAACTTTAACTCAAGTGTCACACGGACTACAGCCTACCACAGGGAGATAGCAGCAGAGATCACTGACACACCCAGAGACTTTGTTAGGTGAAAAAAAGTAAAGTGAGCAAAGTTACCCAGCTGTATTGTGGACTCACGGTTCTGTTGGCATCCTCGTACAATGTCATTAATGTAAGTATACAGATAAAAATACAAATAGAGTTACAACCCTGCCATGAGTTCCATGCAAACAGCTTTCTGTAAGCAATGTCAACTTCTCCTATGTGCAAGGCCTTGCCTATACAGGGCTCTCTGCAGGATTAGGACTGCAAACTATGTACATAAACGCTGGTAAAGTGTGTTTACATAATATGTAAATAGATAAAGAAAAGTACATTCACACCAACTACTGAGGAAAGAAAACAAATCATTTTTCTACTGCTAAAAGTACTGAATCACTTACCATCTGGTTTGGGAGAAAAAAAAGACTCAGTCCAATTCAGCTACGAAGAAAATCCTGTCTAAAAAAAGTAATCACATGCTAGATCCCCCACAAGTTCAATTTCCAATCATTTTAACATGGAGACATGGAGATTTTTGTTCTCCTGAAAGAAAAAAAAAACCAAACAGTAAGAAGGATGTATGTCTTGTTAGGTTCTGATCCTGCAAGCTCTAAATACTGAGCTATGGGGAATAGTGGAAGCTATTTTTTAGGAAAAAGCTGAGTCTCTGCATCAATTTCTGCTGGAATGCATCCTAATTTTCCAAGAAAAATCTGCCACGTTTTTGCTACCATGCTGTGAAATGCAAAAGTAAAATAAAATCTAGATACTAAATATCTGAATTAATTTCCCTTTATACCTCAGTAACATTTAGGGTTTTTCCTCAATCATCTGAAGATACACCTATGCACACTGTAGCATGGTGCAGCAGTGATATGTTACTGACAAATATATTATTCTGACTGAAAAAGAGCATGTGGTCATGTAAATACTCTGAGTACTAGAGCACAACCAGGGAGGGTCATGTTTATAGCTCTGGCAAGCACTTCTCATTTTCAGACTTGCAACTTTTCACTTTGTCCTCCAACACACCATTAAAACCACTTTCTTCATTTTTAAAGAAACAAAAACTTTTTGTACCATTTCAATCCACACTTCAAAACCTAGCCTACACACAGCACTGAGCTGTTCATCCCGTAACTGTACATCATGCAACCAAACTGCTCTGTTCCCTCCTTGCCTCATTCCCTGGACGTTCAAATACCAACCCACCTCTGCTGTGTGCTGCTTCTCTAGAACGTCCTCCTGACCTCTTTCACTGACATTCCATCCACACTGGCCTCTTTTCCTTTCTTCTCTTTCTCCCTCGACATTTCCCTCTACTAAGTAATTAGCAATATTTTCTAATTGGTGTTCTTCTATTTTAATACTTGTGTCTTGGAGGTAGTCAGATCCTCAAAGGGAGATCAATACTGCCTGCTTGGGTGGCTGTCACTGTCCCATGGGTCCTGGCCACCGCCTTCTGCTTCCCTCAGTCCACCTGCCTTGTTCAAACACTTCCTCTTCCTGGAGGCCTCGAGTTTAATTCAGATCCTTTACCTATGGGACAAAGAAGGATTTTACTGGATTTACCAATTATCCTAAACACTACAAACACCTGAAAACATTGAAAGAATTTTCCCTGTCCCACTAAATACCTTACCAACTATATTTTATTGTTCACCTCTTTTTCTACTGAACACTAAGTCTTTCTATGAAAAAATGTATCTATTATTTATTTTAAATAGAAAAATGTTCCTTGGCTATTCCTTAAAAATTATTTATTCTTTCCCTCTTAAATTTAGCACTATTGATTAACCCTGTATAGAACTCCCCTGGGATAAATTAGATCCTGAATCGTTAAGAAATGAAGTCCTCTCTCTCGATGAAAAGAGATTCTTGAAATGATGTGTTACATGTACAACCAAAGGCAATGAAGTTACTTCATGCACTACTATTTATCACCTGTGTCATGACCATAGCCAGCACTCTCTTGTGATTGTGAAAAAGAAAGGCTTAGCTTAAAGATAGTCTGTGCTAAGGCATTCCTGGCAGTGAAGGAAGGCTATGAGTGAGCACCAAGCAGGTTACAGTGACTCAGCTGCACAGCAGTAACTCTTTAACCCACAAAAATAGGATTACTTTAGACCTTGCTGGTAAGGTTGCCTAAAGTTGGTGTGTGATCACTTAGCGTAGCACAAGCAGTGGTAGATCCACACCTCACACCCACAAAATCACAGAATCACCATGGTTGGAAGGGACATCTGAGATCATCGAGTCCAACCTCAAAAAATAAAACAACAAAAAAACCCCAAACAAACAAAAAAATCCCCCAACAAAACAAAAAACACAACACCCCACCACATCACACCCACCCACAAACCAATAATCTTGGGCACTAGAGCATGCCCTGAAGAGCCATGTCTACACGTTTCTTAAATACCTCCAGGGACGGTGACTCCACCACCTCCCTGGGCAGGCTGTTCCAGGGCCTGACCACTCTCTCAGTAAATTCTTCCTAATATCTAATCTAAACCTCCCCTGCCCCAGCTTTAGACCATTTCCTCTGGTCCTGTCATTATTCCCTTGGGAGAAGAGGCCAACACTTACCTCTCTACACCTTCCTTTCAGGTAATTGTAGAGGGCAATGAGGTCTCCCCTCAGCCTCCTCTTCTCCAAACAAAACATGCCCGGTTCCCTCAGCCTCTCCTCATATGACTTGTTCTCTAGACCCCTCACCAGCTTGGTGGCTCTCCTCTGGACACGCTCCAGCACTTCAATGTCCTTCCTGTAGTGAGGGGCCCAAAACCGAGGCCTCACCAGTGCCAAGTACAGGGGCACGATGACTTCCCTACTCCTGCTGGCCACACTGTTCCTGATACAGGCCAGGATGCTGTTGGCCTTCTTGGCCACCTGGGCACACTGCTGGCTCATGTTCAGCCGGCTGTCCACCAACGCTCCTAGGTCTTTTTCTGCTGGGCAGCTTTCCAGCCACTCTTCCCCAAGCCTGTAGCGTTGCCTGGGGTTGTTGTGACCGAAATGCAGGACCCAGCACTTGGCCTTATTAAACCTCATCCCCTTGGCCTTGGCCCATTGATCCAGTCTGTCCAGATCCCTCTGTAGAGCCTTCCAACCCTCAAGCAGATCAACACTCCCACCTAGTCTGGTGTCATCTGCGAACTTACTGAGGGTGCACTCAATCCCTTATCTAGATCATCACTAAAGATATTAAACAAGACCGGCCCCAGTCTTGTTTGGGGCCCTCTGGGACCCCAGTTAGTAAACAGTCTACTTCCAGCTCTCAGACTCCAACAGAGCAGGATGACACCCTAGCACAAAAGTGCTTCTGTATCACACCTACCTCAGAGCAGGCAAAGGGAAACATGGCACTGCAGTCAGTGACAGTGTGCTGAGAGAAACGTAAGCCTTTCCCTGCAAGGGAGCAGCTTTTCTCATCACTGCCCGACAACGAGGACTCTGCAGGGCCTTCGTCCGCTAAGCGGGCCCTTCCCCTGGGCCGTATCAGCACAACCTTCTCTTGTCATTTAAAAGCCAGCTGCTGAGGGGAGGGCTGAAGGTCCTCGGAGCTGCTTCCAAACAGAGGTGACCTTGCAAGCTTTCTCCCACCCTCCGCTTTCCCACTGAGCGACCAAACAGGACCCTCGGGATTCTCTGAAAAAGTAACAGAAAGAGGGGAAAAAAAACCAAGTGGAGTTCGGCACTGCTGTAAGAGAGACTGGAGGGGCCTCATGGGTCTAGCAGACAGCGACAGAATTCAAAGGATCTACAGGGAAGTGGTTTCAAAAATAGTGGAGAGGGCCACGCTCAAAGCCCATGAAATTACAACCACAGGATGGACTCCAGGTGCTCCACTTCATGGCCAGGCAGGACCTTCCAGGGAGGAGACAAACCCCGCATGCACCAGGACAACAGCCAAGTATTTCTTCATTCTGTACTAACTGTCCCAGGAAACAGATTTCAACTTTCCCAACAGGTAGCATCAGCTTTTAAGTTAACAGTAATTTCCATCAACAAAATGATAAATGACTTCTACGCATTTTGCTGCTTCTGAATGCACTTATGTAAAATATCAAATTATTTTAATACAACCAGAGATAAAGACACGCAGGGAAGAAATCACAAGTAAACATACCACATCTTTAACTGTGCCTTTTCTGCTGTCAGTTAAAAGACTAAATGTGATGGACCAAACGACAGTGTTCAATACATTGTAAGAATAACCAGTTTAATCAACGATTCCCATTTATTTCTAATTACATTCTTCATAACATAATATCCATACGCCTTCATGTTGGTATTTTATTTTGAAAGTTATGCCAGTAATAAGAAAGAGTGGTAATACATCTTTTTGTGGACTCAGAATTACACTTGCAAATTGAGCTGTGGGATTCTTTCATCTCAGTAATTATCAAAAAAATCTTTTTTTACTTTCCTGCCTGTACCCGAACACTCAGGATTCTGGACACTTGAACAATACTCTTGAATCTATTTTTAAGTTTTAGACATAACGGTGGTATTTGTCCCAGATTATATAATCAGATTATCTTTAGAAAACATTAAAGATACGTGAAAACCTTAGAGAAGTCAAGCAGTAACTCTTTCCACAACCACTAGGGGATTTCTCTCTCCTCTTTCGTCACTGCTGCACGCAGCTGGGGAAAGTATTGCACAGCTGCAGTGGCTCAGAGCGACACCACGCAAGCGGCTCCGGCCAGAGATGCCTTCCTGCAACCTCCACGCCAAGAAGGGAGAGCAGGAAGGGAGGTTTCTAACCGTGCTGGTAAATGTCTTCTTCCTCACACCCAGGATCAGCCCTAGACAGTCAGAGAGTTCAGAAGGAACGAGGCCATGACTAACCCACAGCTCCCACCACCAGAGTCTAACCTGGGCGGCGCCAGAGACATCGGTACGGATCTGATTTGCACCAGTGGAAAGCATGAAATCAGCGGAGCTGAACTCAGACGATGAGAATGAGGCTCGTTATCTCTGCAGATTCATGCACGGGGAGTTGCATGCTGCACAGCCTTCCCTGCTCTGAGTCACTCCAACTCCCGCTCTAGGCTGTTCGGTAGCAAACTGTCAATAAAACTCACTAATGATGGGCTTTATATAGAAATAGTGCATTTAACTGAGAGGCTACAACAAATGAAGAGTGCAGCGAGGGGTGAATTACGTGGTTAATGGAATACAGGATGTGTGTCAGTAAAGAAGTGGTAAAGGTGGGTGGGAGTCTTAATGTTACATAGATCTGCTTGAAGTTTGGTATCTATATGAACCTAATTCCCCTTTTAATTTCAGTACAGTTATAGCTAGCACTCCTCTGTGTTTCTACTGATATATAAATTCTCTGATGAATAATTGATAGCCAACTTTCTTTTACGTAAGCCATTACTGGAGAGCCAGCAAATATTACAGCCATGTTGTTTGTCTACTCTGTTTTTAGTCTTGTTCTCATCTGAATCGTGTTTGGCTAGTGTTCATATCCATCTCCTTAATTGGTGGTAGCTATAAAATAAAAATTAATATATACCCTTGCAGAACCAGTGGCAGGAACACTGCAAAAATGATGTTGTCTGACACAGATTCTTATTTTTTGTCCTGTGTAAGCACACATCTGCAGCCGTTGGGAATATTATAACAGAATATGGTTTCTGTACTGCTGTCCAAGTTCTGTACCTTGTAAAATATTCCAATATTGTGATATAACATTTAACTACAGCTAACAACTGACCTTCTAAGGAGGCAGCTGTCACTTTCATCCATTCAAGACTGTCATTTTACCTGGTGGCTACAGGTAATTCTAACTTCTTAAACCAAATTAAGAAGATCTGGGAAGCAACCCCTAAAAGAAAGTGAAAATAAACAAGGGATGTTTCACAACCTTGGGGGGAATTGTAATACGTAACAGCAACAAAAAAACCAAGAAGCTGAAGAACTGTCAATCCTACAGGAGAGTTCAGCTAGAAAGAAGAGGAACCTAGAAATAGGGGCACTGGGCAGGAGAAAATAGCTGTAACACTTCTCAACACATTCTCTTTCTGCGTGTGGGGAAAAAAACAAACACAGCAGGAGACCAAAACCATAACCTGAACCTGACCTCACTCACACTGGTTGTATCATAAAACCACTGGGCTGAACTTTGGTCATTGCATCACCAACACAAAGCAATCTCAAAGCCCAGCCAAGCAACTACACAACTACACCATGATTATTTTTTTTTTTTCCTTCACATGCAGTCGCGATGGTAGAGGCCAGCTAAGAATATGGCCTTTCAGAAGAAAAAACATGTCAATTTAATGTCAGTTGGCTGGACAGCTTGCTTTGCTTTTGAGGTTGTTTGTTGGGGTTTTTTTTAATATTACTGCACTGAGAAATGTGGGTGTGATACAGCATTTAACTGGAACGCTAAGTGCCAAGGACATATTTTTGACTGTATCTGTCAGAAATGGGAATCAATACAGTAGTTAAAAACATGGAGGATCACGTGGTCGTCAATTATGCAGTCACCAAAGTAACATGGCACCAGGAATGTTCACATAAAGACGTTCTTAAAATCTTAATAAACATCCTTCTACACAGGACGTGTGATTCATGGCTTACAGAGTGATAAGCACTAAAGGGTCAAGTAACTCACCTAATATCACCCAGCAAGTCATGACCAGGCTGAGATCAAGAACTCGGGATCCTAGTTCCCCGTGCTGATCTCTCCTACAACTGCGCGTTACTCCAACTGCACAATGTCCTACCATTACCAAGCATTTCTACAAAACGGCCTACTTTTGTGCTGCTCAGAAAAAGAACCAGTGTGTTCAAAAGCAAACATTCTAGCAATCCCTTGCAAGCATAAAATGTAGTTGCTAAGGCAGGACACAAATGGATAGCTTAAGCCAACAGAAAGGTAATTTACCGTTATCACTGATAACGATAATTGCCAAAAAGTCCAGTCCATACCTCCACAATTAAACTACCTGCCCCTGCAGAAGGGGACTGAATAGAAGACTACACTGAACATGGAGCCCTTTAAATCCCTTGGCCTCTTAAAAAAATGCCAGTTGCCAGTCAACAGACAGGGGCGAGACTGTCAGTGCCCTCAGCCATTCATTCCAATACAGAAAGGCTCACAGGCCATCTGCACCTTCATCCTAAGCATCTTGCCAGGCATACCTGTTCCTGCCAGGTACAGAAATGCTCACCTGACCTCCATCCCCTGCTGGCACTGGAGAAAGAAAGGACTTTAAACATCGGTGTGAACACGAAACAGCTGAAGATTGCAATGCTTTGTAGCTTCAGATGGAACTCGAAAGCAGCAACTCAAACGAACATCATCCTCCATGAAGAGGAAGCAATAATGCCGTGACCTAAATTTGCACTCTGTGCACCAAACTTATTTATAGATGGATGGAAATAGGTTTGGGAAGAGAGACTCAAGTCAGCAATCTTTGTTTACAGTATCAGTGTTTCATCCTCTGCTGGGCCATCACATGCCCGCAACATCTGTATTTCTGATTCATGTAAAATATGTAAGAATACGATAAGGCCACATACACCTTACTTAAGTTCAATGCCTATCTTAAAGCTCTAGCTTGCCTTTAATCAAGAAAACCCATCGTTTTACCTTGGTCTTAAATTATTTTTTTTTTAACTTGGTGGGGTGCAGTCACGGGAGTCCTGTTTTATTATTAGTCAGCAGTTTTTCAGAATCCTAACCAGCTGGGCCTAGACCTACCATGCTGAACACTTGCTTAAATAATTGAGCTCAAGGTGGTATGAGCCTGTGTATTTTTGTGATCAGAGCCTAACTTGCTTAACAAAACCCAGCACGAATAGGTTAATTTCTGACTTCAGAACCACAGTATTTTCTAGGCATGATCTGCTATGTGCAGTCATGTGTATTCTAAAGAAAGAAGCAGGATGGTTGCCCACAGATATATAAATGAAATCAAATGTTGCATGTAACGCCCTGGCAGAATAAATGCTGTGCCCTTTTTGTACATCAGCCTGGAACAACCAGACGCAGCCTCCACCGGGCTGGAGCCGAGCCAAAAGATTATCCATCCTTTCTGCCACACGTGGACTCTCCGAGGATCAGCGTCTGGAACTCCATGTGCTCATTCGATGTTCATCTGTGGTTAAAGATAACGAATTCAGATACAACCGCACTGGAAACCGACGATAAGGAGACACAACAAGGCCAGCGCCTGCTGTACGGCCAGACCTCCACCCAGCACCCCAACGGGGCAGGCAGCCTCAGAAAATAGCATGTAATCTGATCAATCTGACAAGGTAGCTCAGCCGTAACAAGCAATTAGTGATCAAAAATAAACTGTTTGTGTAGGCCGCCGGCTGGACTTGCGCTACCACCCTCGGTTTTACATGGCTAACCCACGTGCCAAGCAGAGAGTCCCTCCGGCACCTTCTCCTCGCCTCCCCACAGAAAACACGGGAACGCTGTTCATGCCCGTGGCCTCCCCGTCCCGGCAGGCAGGGCACCGCCCAGACCCGCGGGGAGGCCGGGGCCTCTGCCCGCCGGGTCCCCGCCGTCCGGCCGAGGCTGCGGCGGGCCCTTCCCGGGGCAGCGGCCTCTCCCACAGGCCTCGCCTCACCCCCCGCCGCGCTAAGATGGCGGCCCCACCACCCCCTCACCTCCGCCAGCCCCGCTAATCCTCCTCCTCCTCCGCTTCCACTTCCTCCTCCTTCCCCGGCCGCCACCGCTGAACTCCCGCGGGGCCCTGCGGAGCGGCGCTG